ATGTTAAAAAAATCCCATGTAGAGTTACACAAGATGCAACTTCACCTTCTTTACGAATTTCTTTTGACAATTGTATAAGTAAGCGAAATGACTTTTCGTTTACGCGTAAACGTATAGCAGCACTGTTGAAAATGCTGTTTCAATATTGTTTATAATCCTGGCAAAATTTGGACTGAGAAGTCCGGAAAATCTCCCACTTATTGCCAACACCTGCGGCAATCCTCGTCAAACATCGTTCATACGCAATACCGCAATTGGACTCGCTAAATACCGTTGAGGGCGCTACTTTTCGTCAATACAGTCGCTCTGAGAAAAATTGGTTGTGTTGTGTGTGTGTCGATGAAATTTTATTATTGGATTTCATGTTTCTGCGGGTGAGGAATCCCAATTTTCTGGTTATTTTTTGATTCAGACGCGCAATAATTTGTTATAAACAAATTAGCCCCCATTTCCAGTGAACAAATGATTTTCCCCAAAAACCGGGAGAGTTACAGAAAAATGTTCCGAATGAAAGTTATTCCTCTTTTTCTTATGAATAAAATTATTTTTGACTCGTCGAAATTAGCCCAACAATTCCCGAGATATGAGTTGAAGAGTAAGCGTGGGTGGATAGACTGCAGGGAAAACGGTTCAGTATTGGCACGTTTCAGAGTATCTAAACGAATATCATTTGTTTTTGCATGCTGCATTGCACTGCCCAGAGAAATAATCCCCGTAACATATTGATTATATCTAGTTTTTCTCATACACTACTCTTTATTGCGGCTAAGGGACCAAATGCGTTACGTGCTACGAGAGGACGATGTAAAAATGTCGCCACCAACTTATGATAATAACATATAATTTCTATTACCGGATAAATGGAAGCCCCCTTTATATCTCTCTAAATTTCAATTCTATTTGAATTTATTTAATGCCTAAAGGTGGTTAGGCGGCGTGCTGAGTTGAATTTGGAGTGAGAATTTCCGTGGTTCCCGGTAGCTTAGTCGGTAAGAGTGCCCGGCGCGTTACTGGGAGACCCGGATTCAAATCCTGGCTGGGCGAATCGGAATTTTTTCTCTCTAAATTTCAATTCTATTTGAATTTTTCTTTGAAGTTAAAGATATCTATAAGAATAAAACGACGAGTCAATTATAGCAAAATTTATCAATTTATACATCACCTTTATTCATAGGGTTTTGGCATTGTTGAGCCAAAGAGCAGTTACAATACGAAATACAAGATACCTGATTAGCTCGGGAAACATACGTTCAAGGAGGAATTATTCCAAATGATGGAAGAATCAATTCAGTTACGCGACTGGGCTTGAGAATACCACCGACATTATCGAACCCAAATAATTCTGAATTCAATTTTTTCCTCATGGGATCGAACAGTGGATCCTATGAGGATCCTTCAGATCATATGATCCGCGCCCATACTGACCCGTCTTCCGCAGTTCCCCCACCCACGCTCACGCTTCAACTCATATCTCGGGAACTATTGGGTCGATTTCGACGAGTCAAAAATGATTTTCCTTGTAAGAAAAAGAGGAATAACTCTTTTATTATGCCTTTTTTTATTGTTTCTTTTAACAATTAATCCTCCTCTACTGGGTTCCCACTTTGTCGTTAGTGAGGGGGCTCGGTTGCGGGCGGTGGAGGTCTTAAGGACTACCGCCGCCCGCGGTCGCTAAGAGGAGCCCACCCAATCCATGTGTGTGAGCGGCGTAAGCCATGGCCTCGGCCATACCGTGCCTAAGGATGCGTGACACAGGGGGAGCTGTGTCGCTAACGGTGCCTCTCATAAACCTGGGCGACCTCTGAGAGTAGTCTTGGGTGTAACCCACCCGAGACAAGCCAAGCCCTGGGCAATCGCGGCAATGCACCAGGTGAAAACGTGTAACTGCGGTACTCGTGGGACCAAAATGGAAACCAATCTAAAAAAATCTCAGTATTGAAAAAGTAACTTCGGGTGGGGCCAGCGATGGCGATGGAGAAACAGAATGCAGGCCTGCAGGCCAGAGAGTGGGTTGTCGCTCGGAGCAGTGAGAGCAGGGACGCGAAAAGTGCCCACTTCGTTGCGCTGATAGACGACCGATCACTCTCTGTTCTGAAAGCCTGCAACTTCAGACTGCACTGCAGGATTCAAAAAGCAACTGTCAAGCTGCTTGCGAAAGACCGTGGTGAAAGTCAGAAGAAGGGTACATAGAGGTACCAGGAAAGTAGTCATCATTATGGCTGCAACCCGAGTGCACATTGTACAGATAAATTTGCATCACAGCAACGCAGCCTCGGCTACTCTAGTCAGGCTATTAGCTGGGATGCAGACTGTCATAGCATTGATCCAAGAACCATGGATAGTGGACAATGCTATTAAGGGCCTCAGTGGTTGTGGCAGAATCTATCACGCAAACACTCAGGAAAAAATTAGATCTTGTATTGTTATTAAAGGACAGACTTCACTTGATACTCAAGCCATCTTCTGTCAACAACTCTTTGTCAAATAAATCGCGCTTTTCTTTTGAATCTTGGTTCTGATTTCCCATTAAATAACATTGGTGTCAGAAGTGGGTCTGAAACGTTCCCACGTGAAAAAAAAATCAGGCCCGGTCGCGCGCTTCGCGCGCTCCCTCTTTAGGGTATTACCGGTAGGGGTTGGTGGAATTGGATGTGACTCATTACGGGTCGCACCAATAACTTCCCGACCATTTGTTTTTTCTTTCATTAATTTTTTTATTATGTATTTATTCAATCTTTTTCTCACATTTCTCCGAGGAAATACCCATAGAAGACAAGAAAATCTGTGCGCGTGCTCGCAATCACACACACTCCCATGCACATACATCGCCGTATTCCGCATCGAGAAAAGATGTAATTTATCAGAAAAGTAAAATTGTTTCTTGAATGTATATCGATTTCGAAAAAAGCTAGTGAACTGCTGATTAAATGTCTTCCAGTATTCCATGATTTGTGCGTTATATCAAGATTCATCGTTTCTAACAAAAAAAACTTGAAATCGCATCGTTTGTTCAGGAGGAATCGTGGCACAAAATTTTTGTCACAGACGTACGCACTCACATACACACATCCACACATACAGACAGGTACCTGAAAAGGGTCAGAAGTGGTTCCAAAGGTCATGAAACGTGGAGAAATGCTTAAATTTCCATATTCGATTTTCGGGGTCATTACAATAACTTCCTCCCTTCGGGTCGGGAAGTTAAAAAAAATCAAATACAATAAAAATCAAATAAAATATAAAAAAAGTGACAGTTCAACAAAAACTCGTGAGGATGCCGAAACGACACCGGAAAACAAGGGATCTTCCCCCCGAGTCCACAGAAGACAACCTTGGCCCCTGGGCTTCTGATTTTCCGCCTCATTCTGTTCCTGTTGTGGGAAATTCACGAGTCAATTTACACATGGAATTATTCAACCGATTAATTGAAATGGAGAATAAACTTCGCGAAGGAATGCGTCGCTATCAAGAAGCTACTCAAACAGAAACCATCACTAATATTCGTGATGTTATTCGTCGTGAGTTGGAAGAACGCCGTCATACAGATAGAGAAGAACTTCGCAATCTTCGTCGATCCGAGATTCCGGTTATCCCCGAACCTGTACCCTCCAATCCTTGTTACCGGACAATCAATGAACAAATTTGTCATGTTGATTCACCCATTGCGAATAATCATCAACGCACTGTACCTGTCGAAATTCATCACTCAGAACTTGTCGCTCCCGATCCCCTCCATCAGAGAACCAATGAACGAGCCTACCATGCTGATGTACCCAACGTTGAGACCCATCGACATACTGCTCCTGTTCAAGCTCGTCACGATGTTCAAACTCCTCGACCAGGAATAACTACTCATCATTCAGGATTATCAGATAACCCCACAAATTATTTTAATTCTAATTCTGCTACTGTTCCTAACGCTTTTTCTCACACAATTCCGCGATTTTTACCACCAGTTTCTGGTCAACAGTCGTCGACTTCCGTCGAAAAAAAAGATTTTATCAAACCAGATACTTACGATGGTACACAATCGTGGTCTCGGTATTGTAAACATTTTGAAATCGCCGCGAACACTAATGATTGGTCGGAAGAAATGAAAGCGCCTCAATTATTATCTCGACTTCGGGGAAAAGCTCAGGTGATTCTGGAAATAATTTCTGATGACGAAAAGAAAGATTACAAAAAAATTACTTCACTCTTGAATAATCGGTTTGATGAGAAACATTTATCACGAATGTACTTTAATGAATTGCAAGCGCGAAAACAGAACAAAGAAGAAAATTTCCAAATTTTTGCGGAGGAAATTGAACGACTCGTTCGTCTTGCACATATTGACATGTCAGAGGAGAATCGCGATCGAATTGCATGTCTCTCGTTTATCGGTGGAATTAATGATTCTCGAATTGAGTTTACCCTTTGCTCAGAACGTTTAGAGTCTCTCCAAAGGGCTGTGGAAAGAGCTACAGAACTCAAATCCATTTCACAACTATTGAATAGTAATCGCACATCGAGCTCATCGTCTTCGAACCGGTTTCAACCACATTTTAGTGGATTCTCTACAAACAACAACGATCGCAGGAATAATTCAAATAACCGAAGCAGAATCAATTGTTTTAAATGCAGAAATGTTGGTAAAAATGTATTATTACTATAGTATAATCGACATCTACACACACATGTTAGACTGACGGGTAAATTATATTTGTATTGAACTATTTATATGTATATGTAAATTTTTTCCCCCACTTCCTCTATTGTGAATAAATCTCTATGGCGTCTACTCTAAATATTGTATCCACGTTTATTTTAACCTGCTCCGATAATCCACGGCCATCAGGTTATGGGACACATGAGAAAATTAAAAAATATTACCAAAAAGTAGAACAAAATTTGGTGTGTCAAAAGATACATATATTTTGGTAAATTGAGTCAAGATAATTGGAGTTAAGGTAAATTGAAAATTTAGTACCTAAGCTAACCTTAAAAAGAAAAAAGTCAAAATGCCTGATGCTCAAGTAGCAACGAACAGTAAAACTGAAAATAGTAATTCGCATCACGGATTACAACCAATTGAAAGACTCAAGGGCAGAGAAAATTATGCATCATGGAAATTTGCTATGAAAGCGTACCTTGAGATGGAAGATTTATGGGGTTGTGTTGAAGAAATTCCTGCGAATGTTGCTGATCCTAGAAAAATGACACGTGCAAGGACAAAAATTGCATTATCACTTGAACCAGTGAATTATGGACATGTCGAAGATTCAAGAACACCAAAAAAGTCTTGGGATAAACTACGAGCGACATTTGATGACGCAGGATTGTCTAGGAGAGTGAACTTGTTAAAACAGTTGACTTCAATATCACTTGAGAATAGTGCATCTGTGGAAGATTATATTAACAAAATCATAGGTGCAGCCCATAAACTTCGTGGAGTCGGTTTTACGGTGCAAGAAGAATGGTTAGGTACGTTATTATTGGCGGGTTTATCAGATGAATATAAACCAATGATTATGGCAATTGAGAGCTCTGGATTACCTATCACAGCTGATTCAATAAAAACAAAATTATTGCAAGAAGTGAAAGATCCAAAAGAAAATAAAACTAGTCAGTCAGCTTTATATTCCAGAGGTCTTAATACTAGGAGAAAATTCGGTCCACGTTGTTATAAGTGTAAAAAAGTTGGTCATTGGGCAAATAATTGTAGATCAGAGAAGGGAGAAAATAATTCTGCCAATAATCATCACAGAAATGACAACAGGAATTATAATAACAACCATCATAACAACGGAAACAATAGTGGGCATGGACATAACAATGGGAACAATAACAACAACAACGATCGAAGGGTTATGTTTGCATTGTGTGCTGCAAAAAGTATAACAAACGCCGATTGGGTCATCGACTCTGGTGCTTCATCTCACATTTCACCACAACGAGAAGTTTTTCGGAACTTCAGGCAGCAGGCTGCAGTTGGTATTGTTACTGCTGACGAGACAGTCTTGGAAGCTGATGGGATTGGAGATATTGAAGTTCCAGTGTGTATGAACGGTGAGCCAACAACATTATTAGTACGAGACGTTTTGTATGTTCCACGAGCAGCAACGAATCTTCTCTCAGTAAGCAAAATTACGAAAAATGATTTTAAAGTTATTTTTACTGGAAATTTATGTAAGATTAATAATAATGATAATCAGGTTATAGCAATTGCCAAAGAAACGTGTGGGATTTACAAATTGGATGTAGATAGACAAATAGTGTACCACGTCTCCCAGTCGACTACCACTGATGATGGAATATTATGGCATCGAAGATTAGGACATTTAAATCGAGGATACATGAAGTTATTAAAAAATGTCCTAGCAACTGGAGTTGAATACGATGAAAGGACGATAATTAACCCTTGTGATGACTGTGTTAAAGGAAAGCAGCATCGTGAGCCCTTTCAACCGAGCCACAGACGATCTAGAAAGGTATTAGAATTGATCCATTCAGACGTTTGTGGGCCGATGGAGTGTAAATCCATTGGAGGTGCCAGATATTTCTTGTTACTTGTTGATGATTATACAAGAAATGTATTTATTTATGTTTTGGAACAAAAGAATCAAGTAGCGAAAAAATTGAAAGAATTTATTGGATTTTATGAGAGACAGACTGGAGAGAAGGTGAAGACTCTGAGGACAGATAATGGGACAGAATATGTCAATAATGACCTTGGTGAATATTTGACGAAAGCTGGTATCCAGCATCAGAAAACGGTGGCATATACTCCCCAGCAAAATGGTGTCGCAGAAAGGTACAATAGGACTGTTGTGGAGAAGGCTCGTTCCATATTAGTTGATGCAAAACTGCCCAAAGAATACTGGGCCGAGGCATGTTCGAGTACTGTATATCTTTTGAATCGTTCGCCTACAAGTGGTTTACCTAAAAAAAACCCTTATGAGATGTGGAATGGAGAAAAACCAAACTTATCCAATTTGAAGGTATTTGGATGTAAGGCTTTGGTTTTTATTCCAAAAGAGAAACGTCAAAAGTGGGACGAAAAATCACAAGAATTGATATTTGTTGGATATTGTGAAAATTCAAAAGCATATAGATTGGTTCATCCATCAACAGGAAAAATCGAAAAAAGTCGTGATGTAATCTTCAAGGAGACACCTGATCTAGAAACAATTTCTATAAGTCATAGTCAAGAGAAAAGGAATTGTTCATTTTTCCCAGTAGATGAGGATGTTGGAGAAGATGAGAGAAATGACACAATTCAAGAGGAACTAAGGATTGATCCACAATCAGAGGTTGAAGGAAGTGAAGATGAAGATGCTTATCAGCTGGCTGAGGATGATGTAATGGAGGATCGAGATGAAGGGGGAGAAGTTCCACTACGGAGATCATCTCGACCACATAAACCAGTTGTATGAGAGGATTTTATTACCTATTTATCATACGATAAGCACTCTTCAGATCCAGAAACGTCAGAGGAAGCTTTGAAGAGCCCTGAGAGTAAAGAGTGGCTTGAAGCTATGATGAACGAGAAAAAGTCATTGATTGATAATAAGACATTTCAAGTTGTCAATCGTTTATCAAATCAGAAATTGCTCGATACCAAATGGGTTTTTAAAACTAAGAAAAATTCATCAGGAGAGATTGAACGCTATAAAGCGAGATTGGTCATCAGAGGGTATCGGCAAAGGGCAGGGATCGACTTCAACGAAACCTATTCTCCTGTGATGCGTCACAGTTCGTTGAGATTTGTTTTTGCCCTTGCCAATAAATATAATTTATCTGTTGAACATTTGGATGT